AGGAATGCCCCAGAGAAGATCCTGGAACCACTGGCAGCCGGTAAGGACCTGCCAACCAACGTTCCCTCTAAGCTGTGGAGTCTTGTGAGCAAAAACTCTACTTTGTGAGCTGCCACCATTAAAGCTGTGAGTGAACGATTCGGCTGTGGCATAAATTAGTTTGCTCTGGAGCCCCATCCTTCCTGAGCTGAAGACGAAATTCAGTGAGCTGGAGGCTAAAAAAACTGTGAGCTGGCTCACACTAACTCAGCTTAGAGGGAACACTGCTGCCAACCCTCCCTGTGAGCACCACGTTGGGGACCTCTTGCTTTAGCAGTATCTTGGAAAGCCCCCTCCATTGACTCGTCCTCTGTTCATTTGCCTGATCAGGTTTTCCCTGAAGGCGTGGGAAAGGCTTCCTAACGCGCGGCACCCCACCTCACCACCTACCACGTTAATCCACGGCCCCAGGTTGGGCGAGCATTCGTACAAGCAGGTGTCCTGGATAAAGTGCTTCTTGCACTTTCCCGACATGTTGCCGCAGTGGCTCCAGCTGAAGTTGTACAGGTACGACTGCTCCTCGTGAGCAGCGTGGCTGGTGTTGACTGAGCAGCAGGAATTGTTCTTCCACGGGGAGCACTGCAGGGGGGAAAGGAGGGGTGATTTCTGCTGGGAACGGCAGACTAACAAGCACAAAGGAACAGCAGCCCGTGCGGCGTCCGACGTCTTTGAGGAATGTTGGCTTAGGTTTGCCAGGTCTGACTTAGGAAATATCTGGGGACTTTGGGGGTTGAGCCAGGAGACTTTGGGGGTGAAGCCAGGAGTAAAGATGTGACATCACTTTTGTGATGTCATTAGGCGATCGAACTCCAACGGGCGTTCTGGCCGTCACGTTTAAAGGGACAGCATTCCTTTTAAATGCTTTCTCTCCATTGGAAATAGCAGAGGATGCGGGCACCTACTTTTGGGGCTCATAGAATTGTGGACCCCCTGGTCCAATCTGGTTTGTTGGGTGTAGTGGTTAAGTGCGCGGACTCTAATCTGGGAGAACCGGGTTTGATTCCCCCACTCCTCCACTTGCACCTGGCTGGATGACCTTGGGCAAGCCGTAGCTCTGATAAGAGCTGTTCTCGAAAAAAGAACAGTTTCTGTCAGAGCTCTCTCAGCACCACCCACCTCACAGGGTGTCTGCTGTGGGGAGGGGAAGGGAAAGGAGATTGTGAGCTGCTCTGAGACTCCCTTGGGTAGTGAAGGGTGGGGTATAAATCCAATCTCCTCTTCTTCTTCTTCTTTCTCAGGAGAGGCACCACCAGCTATGCTGAAAATTTGGTGCCTCTGTCTAAAGAAACAGCTCCCCCCCAGAGCCCCAGATATCCACAGATGATCTGTTATACCCTATAGGGACTGGTCTCCATAGGGTACAATGGAGTGGCCATTCCCCCCCCCACTTTCTGGCAGCCCTGAAGCAGTGGGAGGGGCTCCAAACCAGGGGAACCCCTGCCCCCAACTGGGGGCTGGGAACCCTAGGTCTACCAGCTTGGGTTTGGCAAGGCTAAACGTTCTCAGCCGGAGCCTCCTAGACTTATTTGGTCTTGACCGCTGTGCTCAGTTCCTTTGAAAGGAAGACGGTTTCAAAAGAACCCAGATGATGGCAAAGGCGGGGGGCAGGGAGAAAGAATGCAGAGAAGCCAAAGAGTGGGGCAGGGCTCTCCCATAAGGCCTAGGCCTCACACTGAGGAGAGATCTAAGGCTTAATACAGCCCCTCGCATCATCAGGGGGCTCTCTCTGGGTTATGGGCCCAGGCGGTAAAGCACATCACACTAGCCAGAAAACGCATTTGCCTGGATAGTTTTTCTGCACTCAAAGAGCAGCAAAGGGTGCCTCTGAACATATGAAGAGGACAGACCTTGAGCATCTGTTTTAATGGATTCCTGTTCTCTGCCTTCATTTACAAGACTGTGGCACATTTCAAGAATTCTTCAGGACTTTATGATACACCCGTAGCTGGGAGGGTGAGCACCCTGCAGGCCCCGGAAGAAAATCACTCTGTTTTAATTCCACCCCCAGCTCTCCAGCTCCTGGTCATCTCAGTCCTGCTGCCTCTATCCACTGAGCTTTACTCTCTTCCTGGGTCTTCAGATGAGCAGCTCTGGGGTAGAACTAGCCACATTAAGGCAAGGGAACCTCCATGTTCAAGGGCAATCAGACTCTGAACCTCTGAGCCAGGAGGCAGCATCAAGGAAAGGCCTCCTGCTGAGCTCTGAGCAGGAGCAGGAGAGAGAGCTGTGAGAGAGGTGAGTGGGTTTCTTTTACTTGCTTTCAGCTGAGAGAATTCAGCTAAGGATATTTTGTGGGAAAACTGTGTTCAGCGGTGTGTGGAAGCACTTAGAGTTCTTGCAGAGTCCTGGCTGATTGAGTGTGGGAGAGGAACGGGCATTGTTTGACTGGGATTGCCTGTAATTGAGAGGAAGTGGAAGGGGCATTGTTTTGCCTGTGACTGAGTGCCTGGGTGAATTTGAATTTGAATAGAGGAATAGCTGCTGCCTGACCTCTGCTGGGGGAGGCCTCTATTTAAGGAAGCACCTTGCCAGAGGCACGAGGGCTCTTTGCCTGTGGCTCTTAGACTAGGGGCTCTGTAAGAAGCCCAAAAAGAGCCAGAAAGACAAGGCCCTAGGCTCTTTGTCTTTCCCGTAAAATAATTTGACTTGATAACAAAAACCACATAAATACCAAGGGTTTAAAAGGGGGATTATATTTATTTATTTTAAAAGAATTATGAAGCCAGAATGCCAGCAGGGGGTTGGGGGCTATCCAGTGTTTTGCACGGAGTGTCACATGTATGACTATCTGCCCACTGGGCAGAAGTCTTGGGTGTGTCCTCGGTGCAAGGAGCTCCTGGTTCTCAGGGAACGTGTGTGCTCCCTTGAGGCCAAGGTGGCTGACCTGGAGAAGCAGAGACAGTCAGCTAGGCGCACAGAAAAGACTCTCGGGGACTTGTTAGCTTCGTCCCACTCTGGATCTGGCAGCCCCGCTGCTGTCAGGGAGCATGAGGGTCTAGGGGAAACAGGGCACCATGCTGAGGATAAGGGGAATGTGCCCTCAGAAGGGACCTCTTCCCCAGCTGGTGAGCGGCTCTCCTTTTGCACCAAGGAACCATCCCTGAGCAGGGTGGGAGGGGGGCTCTTGGTAGTGGGTGATTCGATCCTTAGGCAGGTAGACAGCTGGGTGGCGAACCCGCGTACTGACCGTATGGTGACTTGCCTGCCTGGTGCGAAGGTAGCGGACATTACGCGTGTTTTAGATAGGCTGGTAGATAGTGCTGGGGAGGAGCCAGTGGTCGTGGTGCATGTCGGCACCAACGATGTGGGGAAATGCAGTCGTGAGGTCCTGGAGGAGAAATTTAGGCTGCTGGGCAGGAAACTTAGGTCCAGGACCTCCAAGGTAGCCTTCTCAGAAGTGTTACCTGTTCCACGCGCAGGGCCGGAGAGACAGGCAGAGATCAGGAGTCTCAATGCGTGGATGAGACGATGGTGTAGGGGGGAAGGGTTCAGGTTTGTTAGGCACTGGGATACTTTTTGGAACAAGAGGGAGCTGTACAGGCGAGACGGTCTCCACTTGTCCCGAGAAGGAACCAGGCTGCTGGCACTTAAAATCAAAAAGGTGGCAGAGCAGCTTTTAAACTGAATATTGGGGGAAAGCCGACAGGAGATGAAAAGTCTCTGGTTCGGGTTGGCTCATCTGAGAGAGGTGAGGGGGTACCGGTTGCTTTTCTACAGGGAGGTGGATTGAAATTGTCCACAGAGGCCATGGCTGGTGACATGGACTGCCGGACAACGACTCGAGATAGCAAGAGGAAGGATGCAGGCTTAACTTGTAAGGGAAATTACAGCTGTTTCTATACAAATGCTAGAAGTGTCCGAGGTAAAATCGGGGAGTTGGAGTGCTTGGTGTCGGAGGGAAAAATAGACATTGTGGGTATTTCTGAAACTTGGTGGGATGAGGAAAATCAGTGGGACACAGTGATTCCCGGTTATATATTATATCGGAAGGATAGGGGGGGAAGGGTTGGAGGTGGGGTAGCTCTGTATGTCAGAGAGGGTATAAAGTCTAGAAAGATTGAGAGGCTAAGTGAATTGGATTCGCTTCTGGAAGTTCTATGGGTTGAAATAGGGGGGCCAAAAGGAAACTTAACACTGGGAGTTTGTTATCGCCCACCAGATCAAAAGATAGAGGAGGATTATAAAATGATGAATGCCTTAAAGATAGCAACTAGACAAAAACACTGTGTAATAATAGGTGATTTTAACTACCCACACATTGATTGGGTCAATATGTGTTCTAGCCGGGAAAAAGAGATTGAGTTTCTAGACACTCTAAATGACTGTGCTATGGAGCAGATGGTCACGGAACCTACCAGGGGAGAGGCGATCCTTGATTTGGTCCTAAGTAACACTCAAGACCTGGTGAGAGATGTAAAAGTGATTGCACCGCTTGGAAACAGTGATCATAATGTTGTTGAGTTCATCATTTGTACAAATAGAGAATTGGCCAAAAAGACTCACACAACCATTTTTAACTTTAAAAGGGGTAATTTCTCTGATATGAGGGGACACGTGGGGAGGAAACTGAAAGGAAAAGTAGAAAGGGTCAAAACAATTGGGGAAGCTTGGGATCTATTTAAAACTACGATCCTAGAAGCTCAAAAAATATATATTCCGCAGGTTAGGAAAGGCACAAACAGGTATAGGAAAAAGCCTGCATGGTTAACAAACAGAGTAATGGAGGCTGTAAAAAGTAAAAAGAATTCCTTTAAGCAGTGGAAAGCTAGTCACAGTGAGGCTGATAAAACGGAACACAGGCTATGGCAAATAAAATGCAAGTCTGAGGTCAGGCAGGCAAAAAGGGAATATGAGGAGCATATAGCAAAAAACGTAAAAACCAACAATAAAACTTTCTTCAAATACATTAGAAACAGGAAACCAGCCAGGGAGGCAGTGGGGCCCTTGGACGACCAAGGGGTAAAAGGAGTATTGAAGGATGATAGGGAAATGGCTGAGAAGCTAAATGCATTTTTTGCCTCCGTCTTCACTGTGGAAGATGAGAAGTGCTTGCCCACTCCAGAACCACTGATTTCAGGAGGGGTGTTGAAAGACCTGAGTCAGATTGAGGTGACGAGAGAGGAGGTCCTAAAACTGATAGACAACTTAAAAACTGAAAAATCACCAGGCCCAGATGGCATACATCCGAGAGTTCTGAAAGAACTCAAATGTGAACTTGTAGATCTCCTGACAAAGATATGTAATCTTTCCTTAAAATCTGCCTCCATTCCTGAGGATTGGAAGGTAGCTAATGTCACTCCCATCTTTAAAAAGGGTTCCAGAGGAGATCCGGGAAATTACAGGCCAGTCAGTCTGACGTCGATACCGGGTAAATTGGTGGAAACCATTATTAAGGAAAGAATTAGTAGGCACATAGATGAACAAAACCTATTGAGGCAGACTCAGCACGGTTTCTGTAAGGGAAGATCTTGTCTCACTAACCTGTTAGTGTTCTTTGAGGGGGTGAACAAACATGTGGACAAGGGGGATCCAATAGATATTATTTACCTTGACTTCCAGAAAGCTTTTGATAAAGTTCC